TGGAGCACTTCAGCTCAAATTCCAGTTACATTCTTGCCGTTTGCAGGGATTTCTTGCTAAGTGGAAGAAGCTGCTGCTGCTGCTGCTAAGCAGAACTATGGTTTTGCCACGTGGTGGAACGTGCTGGGTCTCCCAAGAGGCTAGAACGTGAGACAGACCTGTGGATGGGAAAAGTAAGCTTCCAAGTACTCACTTTTTATGGGTTAGGGACTTACCACGCAGAGCTGACAAACTCCATTGAGTTACTCACTCTGACTGACTGGTATTAAAACATAAACCTCCCCCCAATCGTAGAAAATGGTAAGAGCTTCAAAACGCTTGTTCATTAACTGACTGCTTTCTGGGGCCGATGTCCCTAGGGCCCATGGCATCTTAGTGGCTGGCCTTCCATCATCTGAAGGGTTTCTGAAGTTAACTGCATCTGTAGGCCGATTCCAGGCAGCAGCCTTGGGAGCTGTGGGACAGATTGTCAGCTGTTGAAAGTCCGCTTAGCACTATTGATTTTCATATAACGCTCAAATTTCCACCAGCTGAGGATCACACCCTGTATCTCGGAGTGGGAATGTTCTACTCAAAGCAAGTGGTGCCCGCGTCACACTGCTGAAGTGTGACTGCCTTGGTAGTGGGGCAGGATGGGGAGGCTTTATTCCCTGACACAAGAGGCAGAAATGTCTTGAGGAACTAGTTTGGCTGCTGCAGAAACAGAGTAACTGGAACTTAGTGCTAGTGCAATGCAGAGCCACACACAAGCCCTGTGTAACTGCCTGGTCCATGATGACTCCTGATAGATGGTGACTGTTGGATGAATCCTGCGGATATGGGGCTGAGGCCAGGCACCATCACTAAAAAAGCAGTTGGGTTCGGTTTAAAATTATCTGATGGTGTAGTTGGGAGCCAAGGCGTACACGTCACTCAATAGCGACTTTATCGTTTCAGATCAAAGTGGACCCAAGAAACAGCTGACACTGGACTGTTGCCTCCAACTTTCAGTCCCTCCTACAAGCTCCATCAGTGCGTCCTAAAGCAAACGTCGGCCTGCGTAGAAAATCCCTGTTCCCCCTCCCCCAGACCTTGTCTGGTCTAGGCAGTATCAGGAAATGACAAGTGCAGCACTGCCTGACTCTTCTGTCCATACTTTCAGCTGCTAATCAGATATCTGACTGGCCTGTGGTCTGCGTCTGCTCCCAGCTCTGTTGCTAAGTGAGCTAGACCAGTGGTTCTCAACCTTCTGAGCAGGGGCCTGTTTGTAAATGCATCTGGCCAGTGGTGACGGGCAGTAGTCTGGGGCTGGCAGCAATGGGGTGGCTTTGGTTGGAGCTGGCCTGGCACTTGCCCCACAGTGTTGTGGGGTTGGCAGGGCATGGCTCTCTGCTCCAGGGTTGCAGCACACTCTGGTTTGGCCCTCTCCCCTGGCTGGACTGAAGTGGTGAGTTGTTGGGACTGGGCCGGTACAGTGCTGCTTGCTCAACCCTCGCCTGGCTGCGCTAGTGTCACGGTGGCTGGGCTAAACTGCGTGACTTTGTGCCTGGAGCACGGTGAGCCAGGCAGCCCTGTGGGACTGAGCTGCCACAACTGTTTGAAATAAAGCCACTGCCTGTGTCCCAAACTAAAACGTGTCTCCAAATAAAATGTGTCTCTGATAAATGAACAGGTAAAGCTGAAATGAGAATGGGGTATTCTCACTTCATGGCGCTGTGCAGTAGTGGGGACGAGACTAGCCCTGCTGTGGATTTTACAAGCTCAGCGATGGTGATGAACATGGGGTAAAACCCCTGGTAAATGTCCACCAGGATTGCCCCCTGCTGTTCATGTTACAATCCACCACTGCTGTGGATTGTCTGAAAGCCTGGGGAGGCATTTACCACTTTTACCTAAGTCAATCCAGTGCAGTAAGGGTGGCGTTTTCTCTCCCCAGAGTGGGGGGGAGATTTTCATGTACTCCCAAAGCACTGGGTTTGGTTCTTTAAAGGATTTGAAACCACAGACAGGAATACTTTTTACGGTCAAACAAAAGAATCAAAAATACTGAATTGATTTAAATGGAAAATTATAAAGTAATAGAAAAAATAAAATCTTTACAATATACAAAGAAAAAGTGGAAAAACAGTACAGTTAAAAAGAAAAAGCAAATAACTTCTACACATATACCCTCCTGATTTACCTTTAAACAATTTATGGAGTTAACAAATATATAATACTCATGTTAAGAAAGATAGAGGCATTGCTTAGGTTCAGGAGATATTCTTTTCTTTGTTTTTCCTTTCTTTGGGTTTTTCGTTGCAACTGATGACCGGTGTTCGTTCCCCTTTCGGAGCTTATGGGCGGCAGCGAGATTCAGCGCCAGGGAGGGAGCCCTGGTTGATCAGACCTAGCTTTTTGGATTTGCAGCCTGTCCGTTCTTGGTCTGTTTCAACCAACCTTAGATACCGTATTTTGGTACTTCTCCATGTGCCTGACAATTGCTGACGTTAGATTTTTGTTGTCTCATTCTGCCCTTAAAAAACTTTCGTCTGCTCCCTTTGGGGTAATCAGCACTACTAATGCATAATGCTGTCAGTTACTTACTTCCCTAAAAGCGGGGTTACTGTTGGTCATTCAGATTTTGTTATTTTTATCTCCTGTATCCGACAATGTTGCCTTTCCTTTACACTTACAATTAAACTGGTGCTCATTTGACATTCTGGGTAGGCCTCAACACCTCCCTTTCACACACAGGAGTTTGGAGATAGATTTCCCTTCTAATGCTGGAGATGGGGCCTTGCAGGAAGTCTGGGCCTGTAGCTGTTTCTTCCCTGAAAATATTGAAGTTTCCTACCCAGCAAGTTTGGGGGGGGAGGGGGAGGGGGGGGAGGGGGGACCACTATTCCCCCCAGCACTATAAGCCTGGGTGCTGCCACTCTTCCCTGAAAGCAACATGGGAGGCCAGGTTTGCTTCCTGGGTCTAATGTGTGCTGTGCACCTTAAGTGTAGTAATGAATGTAGGTGCCCAGAGATGGATTTAGGATCCTAGATGAGGCACCTATTTCCTCTGCTAAACAAAGGATTTGGCCTATAACTATAGAAGGGGGATGCATTTTATTGTGCCTGATGGGGATCAAGCCCCAATGGGAGTCTTGTATCCCCTCCCGATTTTTGCTGTCTCATGGGATGACCTCTGACCGACATGTCAACGATTGTTCCAGCACTTGCCCCCTGCACCACACTTAGCTTGGCCACTTTTGAGCAGTGTCAGCTCTTTGCTCAGCCTTCCCGAGCTGAGAAGAGCAGCTCCTGATGCTATCAGGTGACAGGAAAGCAGGCATGGACTGAACAGCTATTACAGACGCTGCATGCTCTGCCTCCTGCCCTCACTTCCAAGGTGCACAGAGGAGGAGAGCTGCAAGCTTACACAGCAACTTAATCCTATTTCCCCCTCCCCCTTTTGTTCCCTGGCCGCCTCCATGATTTAAACATAGGTGGGGGGAGCACTTAAGAGGGAGTTTATTACTACCCAATCTATTTCAGTGGTGGCTGCAGAAGACCTGTCCACTTGGCCAGGGACGGGGATGCAGGTCAGAGGATCAAATCAAGAATCCAAAGGGCATCACTGAGCTTAGCTTGGGACCCTGTTTGAGGAGCAGGCTGGAGAGCCCACCACTCAAAGCCACAGTAGCCCTGATGTAAGCTGGCTGCCATGCTGGTGGACGTCTCCATTTCAGCCGTCTAGTCTGCATAAAAATGTCATTAAAAGAAAATCATCCCAACCAATGTTGTGACAGTGGCAGAGTTAAGTGCAGATGTGACCTTGCTGGGGTCTGAGCTGGATTTGAAGCATCTAGTGCAGCGGGGGCCAACCTCTGGCTCATGAGTTGAAAAAAAATTGCAGCTCCTGATAGACTCATAGACTTTAAGGTCAGAAGGGACCATTATGATCATCTAGTCTGACCCCCTGCACAGTGCAGGCCACAAAATCTCACCCACCCCTCCTAGAATAATCCTCTCACCTATATCTCAGATATTGAAGCCTTCAAATACTTTGAAGACCCCAAGATGCAGAGAATCCTCCAGCTGTGATCTGTACCCCATGCTACAGAGGAAGGCTGATCCCCAGCACGCTGTCATATCCTGCATGTGCTAACAGCCGGCTGCTGCGTGCAGGCAGTGGTGAGGACTCTGGGTCTGGCGTGGCACCAGCAGCGGGTCTGGGACCTGGGCAGATTGAAGCCTTCAAATACTTTGAAGACCCCAAGATGCAGAGAATCCTCCAGCTGTGATCTGTACCCCATGCTACAGAGGAAGGCTGATCCCCAGCACGCTGTCATATCCTGCATGTGCTAACAGCCGGCTGCTGCGTGCAGGCAGTGGTGAGGACTCTGGGTCTGGCGTGGCACCAGCAGCGGGTCTGGGACCTGGGCAGA